TGGCACAGCAGATCTCTCCTGACCCACCTGCTGCTCTACTCAGCAGTGTACTTCATCAGTTGGCCCACTCTATCTGTGGTGAATCTTCTCACTGCCCTGCACTATCAAGCTATCACCAGCCACTACAACAAAAATCGGATACCGGCCAGGGAGCTGACACACAGGACACAACAGACCTCTCCTGTCTTGCCTGCTGCTTCCCCCTAAGCTGTGTATTACAGTAGATTTTTTACCTGCTCTGCTCCCCATTCTGTCTCTGGTAAATTCTCATCCCCTGCACTGCTGACCTACACCCCAGCTCTTGTATGCATGAATAAATAAAAACAAATCTTTAAAACAAAAGACCTGATATTGACCTCTGATAGTTTCTCCGCTGAGCTGTGTTCCTCATTGGAAAGTGCTCAGTACTTCTTTATGGAATGATTAGAATAGAACAGAACAGAATGGAGCCACAGATCAACTACAAAGGAGAATGGAGAAGCTGGTCTCAACCTATTTTCTAAAAAAATTTAAACAGGTAAACCCCACAAAACGAAAAAATAAAATGGCAATGAGCACTTATATTTCAATTACCACTTTAAATGTAAGTGGCCTGAATTCTCCAGTCAATAGGTAGGGAGTGGTTGAATGGAATTCAGAGCAAAGTCTAACCTTCTACTTAAACCCATCATACCACCAAAGACAAGCCGGCACTTAAAGAGTTAAATGCTAGAAGACAGCTACTTGAGCAAATGGCAACCTTCCGGTGGATAAAAAGGTACTAAGACATAGACATGGACATTATATTATGATAAAGGGCCTAATACAAGGGAAGAAATAACGCTCATAAATATATATGCACCAAACAATGAAGCACCATGCTACAGAGACAGTAATTAAAGAGATACAAAGACACAAATGGAGCACAGGTATTTTTAAAAAGCTCAACATCCATTATCAGAGAAATTAAAAAAAAAAAAAAACAAATAGATAACTACCTCATACTCATTAAGATGCCTACTAAAATAACTAGAAAATGTGAACAGATATTGGCAAGGAAATGGAGAAATTAGGGCACTTTATAGTATTGGTGAAAATATAAAATAGTGGAGCCCCTGTGGAAAAAACAGTATTGATTTATCGATAAATACAAAATAGAATTCCCTTACAATCTGTTAATGCCACTACTGGGCATATCTCCAAATGAATTGAAAGCAGGGTCTCAAAATATTTATGTACACCCACGTTCATAACATATCTAACAGCCAAAAGGTGAAAGCAACAGAATTCAAGTGCCTGATGGCAGATCAGTGGATAAATAAAATGCAGTATGAACACAGTGGAATATTACTCAGCTTTGAAAGGATTCTGACAGGTACAATTATAGATGAATCTTGAGGACATGATGCTACATGAAATACATCAGTCACACAAAGATAAACCCTGTGTGACCCCACTTATACAAGGCAGGTAAGAATAGAGCCTGCATGCGGAATGGTGGCTGCCAGGTGCTGAGATGACTTCTTTTGTCAACCTCTGCTAACTTCTGACTTTTCTCCTGCAGGTTCCTCACCTCAGCCTTCACAGAGTTGAAGGGAGCTAGGGCCTTGCTCTGGATTAGGCCGTGGCTTAAGGTTATGGCTGGTGGATCCACTGTCCAGGTCACTAAAACTCCATGTCAGCGAGAAGCGATTTCACTTTCTTACCATTCTTATGTTCACCTAAAACTTTCAAGTTGCTTCAAGAACTTTCCCTTTGCATTCACAGGTTGGCTAATTTTAGTATAAGAGGCCCAGCTTTCAGCCTCTGCTTTTGACATACCTTCCTCGCTAAGTTTAGCCATTTCTAACTTCTGATGGAAGATTCCAGTCTCTGGAACCTTTCATTGGAACACTTCGAGGCTGTTATAGGGTTACAGACTGGCCGAATTTCAATATTCTGTATCTGAAGGAAATGGGAAACCCAAGGAGAGGGCGAGAGACCTGGGATGTCTGGTGTTCAGGACAGACACAACCTTTATTGTTTCAGTTCACTGTCCAAGATGGGTGCAGTTTTTGGTCCCCCAAAACAATTATAGCAGCAATGTCAAAGATCACATATCATAACATATAATTTTGAAAAAGACAAGTAAGTGAGAGTTACCCAACAGGACATGGAGATGGGAAGTGAGCACATGCCGCTGGGAAGCAGGCGCAATAGACTTGCAGGATGGTGGCCTCAGCCCTTCCTTTTGTACAGTATGCAATGTCTGTGCAGGGCAGTAATGCAGTCTGCCTGTACTGGCAATGTCGGGGGACATTCTCATAGCCATCTGTTACTCAAGGCGTGGTCCTGAGGCCAAGCATAGCCTCTCCCAGCAAGTCGTGAGAATTAAGAATCTCAGGCAGCACTGGGATCTGCTGAAAGGATTGTGCACCTTGCCCAGACCTCAGGTGCTCTGCACAAATGGAGAAGCCTGAGCAGTCCTGGAACTAAGCGTAAGCCCACTAAGGGCCTAACAGGGTCACTGTGGGGAGCAGCTGCTGGACAAAGACCCTTCAAGGCATCACCCTAGGGACTCAGGCCACCAGGTAGGGACCTGGATTACTCACACTCAAAACCAAAGGGCTCTGGAATTAGCACAGTTGGGCAGAGCTTCTTTGCTTTCTTTTTGGGGTTAGCCTTCAAGCATGCACCCCATGAAACACACCTAGGATGAATCGGACCAGAGGGCTGGAAAATGGCCTTGGAAGGTCACTGGCTCCATCTCCAGCCTTTCAGCAGTATCCCCTCTCCAGCACAGTGCCAGCTAGGTGCCCCCAACATCAACAGTGGTGCCAGGCAGCCTTCCAGTGGCAGAGGGGAAACCCTCCAGAGAGCCAGGGCTGCCGAGGTAGCACAGAGAACAGCCTTAGAGCCCTCCCCAGCCCCCTGTCCCTTTACTCCCACTCACTTGAGGATCTCTCTGCCCTTCCCTAGCAGAGATTCCAGGTAGGAATAGCCCAGGGCCCGGTAGAAGCAGTTCCCATCCCCCTTGGTCTTGCGGATTGCAGTGAATCTTTTGCTGAGTTCCTGTGGGGAGAAGGAAATGTGAAATTCTGGTCAGAAGGGCTCTCCCTCGATGTGGTGTCCAGGCCAGGGCCCAACCCCCCTAACAACTGTCCTTAGAGCCCTCAGATTCTCAATGATGTGAACATAAACTCCATGTGTGTGTCAGGTCCTGAGATTAGGGGTCCTGGGGCCACCCTGTCCCTGCCCTGAGCCAGCCCACAGTCTGGGGAAGATGGGCCACTGGATGAAGGAACAGAGGGCAGGGAGCCCCGAGGGCCAGAGCAGTGGTGTCTACACCCACTTCACAGTCTGCAGGGCTTTGGGCAGGGAGGGTGCTGAGAAGTACAAGCCAGCACCTGGTGAGGGCTGCCAGCTGAGTTGGGGCGGGCCTCCCTCAGACACTAAGCAATTGGCCCCTTCTGCAATGTGTCCCCTCCCTCCAGCTCTGTCCCAGCTCCACTTTCCCTCTGGGATGGCCTGGAGTCCCCTTCCCTGCCTCAGGGGACCAGCCAGGACTTTTCCAGCAGTGTGTGGTTTGCCAGGGTGCAGGGGATCCCTGAGAAGGCTTAGAGCGATGGGGCGCCTGAGATGGGCCGGCAGGGGAGGATGCACCCCTTGGGAACTCTATTCTCCCCGGGAGGAGGGCTCTGGGAGCAGAATTGTGTGGCCGACCTTGCTTCTGCTCCCTGAAGTGCACAGATCATTGGATCCACCAGCCTTCACCCCTGGCTGATGCTGGACCCACCAGCAGCTCTGAGTAACTAATGGGCCCCAGAGACTGTGCTGGGAGCGTGAGGAACAGAGTGGGTGGGGCCAGAGAAAGCCGATCCTGCAGAGAGCCCATCCAGCCTGGGTGCAGAGACACCACCAGGGTACAGAGCGCAGGCTCCTACTGCCTGGGCTGTAAACTGCCCCATCCTGCCATCAAGCTCCCCCACCCTCCTCCCCACCCCACCAGCTGGGTGGGCCCGCCCACTCCACCCACTCCGCCCTGGCAGAGTGGTTACTTGGGCGTCTCAGAAGATCAGGTTCCTGGCCCAAATGCCACCTTCACATACTAGCTCCAGGATGTGTGCCAGCCATTTATTTCACACCTGTGCCTCAATTTCCTCAGCTATAAAATGGGTTGTTTTTTTTTTTAAAAAAAAAAGCACCAACTTTGCAATATTGTAACGATGCCTCCATAGCAGATAGCATCTTGCTTTGGAAAAATTTGCCATTTTCAAAAAATAAAATATGGTGCAGGATCCTCCCCTCCCCACTCCACCACCCTCACCTGGATTTTCCTCTGGTAAATCCTGTTTTCAGGATGATCCCGAAGGATTGATAGAATGTCACATTTTTCTGATATTAGGTTGAAAGATGTTTCACTCTGAAAGACACAGAAAGAAGCAACACTGTGACAATATCAGACACAGCCTTGGGCTCCAGTAGACCCAGAGCGCCGCTCCACAGTGACAGACGAGGTGAATGTGACCAAGCACAGAGCAGCGCGCCAGCCGCCCCTCACCCCAGACCCCGGGACCGAGGACGATGCTCCTGGACTCGCGGGGTCTGGCCGGCCTCTGGGGTGGTATCAGGTCGTGACTTCCAAACTGACTCGTATTACAGAATACAGAATGCAGTATACAGAACGCGAAACCTGCTGCCCTTCACCTTGGGGTAGGATGTTTCCCTTTGTTTCCTTCCAGCCTCATCATTCTTTCTCTTACCCAACAATCCTGAGACCCAGCGCTCGCCAAGCACTGTTACATGGTGGAAACCGAGCAAGGCGCACAGTCTAAGCGGGAAACGACGACGCAGGGCCACCAGAAGAGGCCACCCTGTGAGAGGGGTGATCCCCCTACAGCCCTCAGGGTGCCCAGGTCAGGAGCAGGCCGGGTGGGGATGCAGCTGCACGCGCCACCTACAGGCCAAAGTTCACACTGCAGCCGAGCTTTGCCTCAGAAGGATCTGGCCTAGAGATGCCTCTGGGCCCAGCCGGCCTCTCCAGGGGGACCTGGCAGAAATCACCTGGCAGCAGGAGGCAATAGCAGGCCAGCTGGGACCAGGGAACATCGCTGCTGTAACAGGCGCTCCCCACCCCTTCGCCATGCTTTTCCTGCCTAGACTCAGGATTCAGGAAAGTGCGGGATGCACCCCTACCTTAACCTACCCAACAGGACTGATTTCAGCATGAAAATAATGTAAGAGAAACTGGTGTTTTAAAACCACTTGTAGTTTACAGTTGAAATAAGGGCCCCTGGAGCATGCCCACAGCCCAAGGATAGATTTTTAGACAAAAGTGCACAACTGAAATTAACATAAATGTTTTTTACTGGGATTTCCATCAGTCGTGGCTGCCACCTTTGGCAGCAGTCACCAAGCCCATCACCTGCCCCTCCGCCCCTAGTCACAGCGCCTTGCCCCTGGCTTCTCAGCCACCTTGCCAACTGGCAGTCGGAACCCGGGACTACCTGCCCCAAGTGTCTGATGTCACAGACCCCTCCCCCCATGGAGAGTTGTGTCCAGGTCTTTGATGATTAAAAGCTTCACAGTGAAGGCAGAAAGCAGGGCCGTGACGCTCAAGGCACAAAGCAGGGCCATGAAACCCCGCAACGAGGTGTGGATGACATCTAGGGTCACCCTTCTCCACGTCACTACTCATCTTCAGCTTGACGATGAATTCTGACACAGCTCTCTCCACATTCAGGACAGATGCGAGGCATCGGGGGAAAATGGGTGCCTCACTCAAAGTCCCCACTGCCACATGGACCTTCCTTGGTCTGGACAGCTTATCAGCCCAACTGAGACATCCTGTTCTCCTGTCCACTCCCCAGGGCCCATCACAGGGCTGTTGCAGAGCTGGGGATGAGATTTTGTGAATAAATGAATGGGTGACTTAAAAGCCATTTCTTCCATGACGCCTCCCTGGCTTCCCCACCCGAGTCAGGCCTGGGCTCTCCCTCTGTGTCACACTTTATTCCTTTTCTCCATCTCTGGTGGCCCCAATCATGTTGAGGAGTCAGGGCAACATCCAAGAGAAAAGCCTACAAGAATTGAGAAGGGCAGATTTGTTGTCCCAGAGAAGACCAGGAGAAAATATGTTTCCAAAAGAGGGAAAGAGCATGCAAACCATGCAGACACTCAGGGGTGGGGCAAGGCACCCCGGGTTTTGCTTCTGGTGACTTCTATTCTGTACTCACTTTTTTACCAGGCACTTCCTCACTTCTGCTGATTGCAGTGGCAGCTGGCGGAGCAGCAGAAGCCCCAGGAGGAAGCAGACCACCATGGGGGGCAGATGCTGCGGGGGGCTTTGCCACTGCCACCCCGTTTCCTCCTGCTAGTGGAAGCCATCTCGCTCCTCCTGGCAGCTCCACGGGAAGCCCTGGCCAACACTGCCTCCCCTCCTCCTCAGGGCTCCCTCACCTCCTGGCGGCCAGGGGCAACAAGACCTAGGAGGAGCCTGCTGGGGGCTCTGGAAGGTGCTGGCTCGGGATAAAACCTTCACCCTGCCTTTAATACAGTCGCCTGGGCCCAAGATGAGCGGAAACAAGGAGCTGCATTGACAGGCACCTCTGGGCAGAGGCTGGCTCACCCCGCTCCCTCGTTCTTGCCTGCTGACAATGAGCACGCCCCTGCTCCTGGAACACCAGGCCTGCGTGCAGGGAAGTGACTTCATGCAGATTTGACGCTGACTGACCGTGGGAATTCCACAAGTTAACTGCGGGGCGGACAGAGCGCTGAGTCCAGGAGCATTTGAGGGACATTCTGCACGGGGTAGTTTGGAGACTTCTCCCCTCCCACCCTTGTGGTCTCCCCGCCATGGGGCAGACAGCACACCCCCAGCTCTGAGTCAGAGCCCTCAGGATACCCCACAGCCGGAGGCACTCTCCATGGGGAACACTAGACCAGTGTAGGTGACGTCCAAACACAGCGATGTGTCTGTGCCTAGTGTCTGGGGAGAGCTGGTCTCTTTTTAACTTAGCTTCAAATATCTGGAGGCCCCAAGAAGGGAACCCCAACACCTTCTGATTGCTCGACTCTCTTTTGAAGACTCTGTTGGAGCCTAAATGTGTCCCCTTTTCATTTGCAATATAATTCAGCGTAAAGCAAGCTGATTGATGAAAGTCATTGGTAGATTCATAAAGTCATCATGCGTTGATCTAAGTCATAGAAGGTTTAGCATAAACCTTGGCATAATTAATAGCAACAGCTGGTGTCAGGTTAATTTTGTACTTACACTGTGACTAACAGTCAACATCGATGGGGCCCCCATAAGTTACAGAATTTAACCCCCCTATTGAGAAAGCAGGTAACCCAGAAGCAGCTGGTGTAGTGCCCACTTCATTCCAGGATCTCACCATTTACATCAGACTAAATCTCAGAGCCAGGGGCTTTAGAAACAATGGATTTTAAAGTAGCACAAAACAGAAACAACAGGGCAGGTGGAGCGGCCGAGGGAAGGCCCTGCAACCCCCTTCCGTTAGCAGCTTCTGGGAAGATGTCAGTGGTGGGCGGAGGTTAGGAAATTAGCCTGAAATCCAGGGCTGTAAGTACTTGGAGAGAGAAAGTCATCGGGTCCACGAGAGGGGAGCAGGAGGGAAGGCAGCAGGAGCTGGAAGCTGAGCTTCAGGGTCTAGCCGTAGGGTCCTCCGGGAATGTACTTGGCCATTTAAATGGTCGTTTAAAGGCAAAACATTCACTCGCAGTTCAGAGCCTGGATGCAGAGTGGCTGGCGGACCCAGTGTCTCTGCAAGGTGTGGCCAACCTTCCCCCTGCCCCTGACCCCTTCCCACCCCTCCAGACCCCACCTTCTGCAGGCAGTCCCTGCAATGTCTTTCCCTGTTTTATTCTTCATTGTGATAAAATATTCATGATAAAATGTACTGCCTTAACGCTTTGTAAGCTGAGTGGTATGAAGCACACCCATCCACACATCCATCTGCAGAACGTTTTCATCGTCCCCAATGAAACATTCCACCCATTAAAAGCTCCCCCTTCTCCCCTCCTGCTGCAGCCCCCTAACAACCACCATTCCTTCTGTCTCCATGACCTGACCGGTCTTGGAGACTGCATACGGGTGGAACATATTTGTCCTTTCAAGTGTGCATGTGTTTTAAACATGTATACATGCTGTTCTTTAGATATGATGGCTTTTCCCCTATAGTGAGTGCACAGTAAGATTACCTCTCCTGACCAATGCATACCAGGTGAGTTTTGTCCATCCCCAGATGATGGGGCCTAGGGTTAGCTCCAGCGCCCGCTAGTGGTCCCTCATGTGTTACTGGGCATAGGCATGGGCTTTGTATCCTGGTGCCCTGAGTGCCTGGCACACTTCCAGAATGACCCAGAGGCCCCCGCCCCACCAGCACAGCCCTGGTCACACCCCTGGAAAACACTAGTTTCAAGTGCCAAGGAAAACCCAGACCCAACCTCAGTTTCCTGGCCACAACCAGGCACAAGGCGCTGGGTTCGACCTCACTGAGTCTAATGGGTGGTTGGTTTTTCAAATTGGAACTTCAAATGTCCAGGATGTTATGGAGAAAGAACAGACCCACATCTGGCAAAGTCTGGCAGGTCTAACCAAGCTGCCCCAAAGGGCCACAGCCCCTAACATGCAAACACGCTCATGCACTGAGCCAGGCAGACAGCCTCTGCCTAGAAGCTCTCGGCAGTCCAGTCAGGGAGCACATGTCAAAGTGAGGAAAGGACGTTTCTTCCCAGGAGCTTGCCTACTGGACTAGAACACTCAGACCAAGTTGTGTCTGCGCCAGGAACCAGGACTCCAGCCTGCGGGCTCCATTCCTCCCAGGCTGGGGCCAAGAGGAAAGGGCTGGCAGCAGCTAAGGCGCTCTGAGCCCGCCCCACCCCCACCCCTCCCATACACGCGGCCTCCCGGTGCAGAAAAGCCAGGTGCCCCCGCTTTTCTCTTGTTTTATTTTTTGTTTCCTTTCTCCCATCTCTCTACAACTCTAAAAACAGACCCAAGCTGTGGAAGCCCTCAACCAGTCTGACAATGGCAAAGCCAGGTCACCTGCCCCCCATGCACCCTAAGCCGAGATCCAGCCACGTGGGCTCTGGTGTTGGAAAGCCTCCAATAAAGATGCCCCAAGCAGAGCCAGGCGCCACCCCCTGCCCACCTGGGCCCCACCTGGGCCCCTGTGACTGGACCTCCCTCGAGGCTGCTTTGGCAAAGGGCAGACCTTGGCTTGAGTCAGCCTCATCTGAAGGCCCAGCCTGCCGCCAGGCCTGACCTGAAGCTGCCATCTCCTGATTCAGGTCCCGGCCTTTCTCCCTCCCCTCCCAGAAGGTCCTGACACCTCCGGGGCTCCATGCTCGTGCCTGCCTGGGGCTGAGGTCTCCACAGAGGGACAGAAGCAAATGCCTTCTCACTGCCTACTTCAGGGTGGTATGTAACACACAGCTACAGGGGCCGACCAAAACCTGTTTATTGCTGAGATGAATGAACAAAAATGGAGACCAAAGAGCGAGGGGAGCCCTGGAGCCCTGAATTCCTTTCCTGTGGCTGCCGTAACAAGCCGGCACAATTCTAAGACAACAGGCTGACTAGCTTGCGATTCTGGAGGTTCTAGAGGAGAACCCGCCGCCTTACCTGGTCCTGTTTCCAGAGGCCGTGGGCATTCCCTGCCTGTGAGCCCTCCCTTCCTGCCCATTACAGCTCCTGACCGGCCTCTCTGCTTCCGCCCGCACCATCATAAGGGCCTTGACAGGGCCCACCTGGGTATTCCAAGTCATCATGGCAGTAACTTCACCACACCTGCACGGCCCTGGCTCCCCGTGAGGTACCCCACGCACAGGGCCCGGGGATCAGGGCAGGGAATCTTTCAGGCTACACTCGGCCTTGCTGCTTCCTGCTGCCCCACCTTTGGGGCTTGTCACTGGCTCCTTTTGCGAGATGCTTACCTCAGGTGCTGTTCCCCTCTCATGAGATGCCTTCCTGAGGGACCCTCAGATTTCCACCCAGGGTTCTGGAACATAGCCCCTCACAGCTACAAGCTACCAGGACGTCTGACCGGCACCTCCATGTTCCTGTGCCTCTAACTGCTCTCTCGCTCCACTCAGCCTCCCCAGCTCTCCATCCAGCCAGAGTGACCACCACTCTCTTCACTGTGGGCTCTGCTCCTGGGTTCAATCTGAGGTCCCACCCTCTCCTCCCAGACTACAATGTGCAACTGAACCCCTGGCTTCCAGGCCTGCTCCCATCAGGAACCATCTCAAGGCAGCCAGCGCAAGCTACTTAACAAGTAAACCAGACCAGACATGGCCTTCCTCAGTACTCCAGTGGCTCCTCTCAGGGTGAATCTTTGATGACACCCTCCTGTCCCAGCTCATGCCTACTTCACCTGCTAAACTCCAGTCAGGATAACCCCCTCTGAATTTCCCCAATCAGACATACTGTGTCTACCTCAGGGCCTTTGTACATGCTGTTCACACTGCCTGGAATGTCCCCCGGCCTGTTCACCTGACTCGAGTGACCTAACCTCCTCAGAAGCTTCCTTGATTACTGTCTACAGCTGCCCCTCCCCCCCTCAGGGCCTTGACTTGTTTTGTTTCTTCTGAGCATCATGATGTGTAGATTCATGGGCTCACTTGTCCATTGTCTTCCTCCACGAGTGCCAACTTCACGGCTGCCTACTGTCGCTTCCAGATCCGGCACCTGGCACTCAGTGATGCTCAAAGGTGTAGACCGAGTGGTGAGTGGGGAGATGGCGAGCCTGCCACTTCCAGCCCTGTGCCCACTCCGCTGCCAAAGAGACCGTGTAGGTCAACCGGTCTCACTTGTGAGAATGTTCTGGGTCTCCGCTCCAAGCCCCAAAGCCCAGCAGATGGAGCCCATCACAGCACCCTCTTGACCGCACTGACCTTTCCAGATTTATCTCTTCTCCCTCCCACTAAATGCCTGCACCCTACTGACTGCTAACCTCTGTCAGCATCCCCAGCTTTAAGCACATTTCCAGGCCTTTCAGCACATTGTTCCACACTGCCTGGAGTGAGCTAGACCCCAAATCTTTCCTGAACAGTCCTGGACACATCAACACTCAGCTCACAAGACCTCTGTGGAGCCGCCCTTGATACTCTTGTTCCCTCAGATGCACCCCAAGCCATAGGTCAGGCCTCTGAGGCCATGACGGATAGCTCAGGAATGGCCTGTGTGAGCTCCCTCGGAAGGGCAGCTGTGTCTGTCTCATCATGGCCCAAGGAGGGGCCTACTGGGGCGTTTGACAAACAAAAGACCAAAGCTCAGAAGGATCCTGTGGTTTTACTGGTCACTCTGGTGCTCACTAGTTTGGCCAGTGTTCAATGCACTCTGAGCAGCAGCCCCTCTGGTGGCTGCCCCAGGCCTCCCGCAGGGTTTATGTCTTCTACCCTGGAGACTTCCTCAAGCACAGCCCAGTGTCTGTGACACAGGAAAGGGGTGAAGATGCTGCATTCTCCAGGGCCAGTCTCCTCTGTCACCACCCGCATCTCACTACCTGCACCATGAGACTCAACATAAAAACCCACCAGAGTCCAGGGCCCAGCATGGTCGTGACAACAGGAGCTGCTTGATGACTGCTAGGGGAGCAGAGAACAGAGCCTGGAGCCTCAGCCCTCCTCCCCACATTCTCAGGCAGGCGCTGTCCTATTTCCTATTTTGTGGGTTAGCCACTTCACCCCACTCCAAGGCACCCAGACTTCCCTGGGGAGGGAGGGCTTGGGATTGTCAACCCCTCTGCCCTCTAACTCGAGGTCCTATGCGTCCAGGCCATAGGGAGGGTGGAGTCAGAAGCCTCACCCCTCACCCCCTCACAGTGAAGCCAAAGACCAGAAGTTGAGGCCACAGCAGCCCCTCCCCGGCCCCGCCCCATCTGCAGCCTCCAGAAGGCACGCCAGCCTCCTGCACCAGGCAGTTACGCCCATTATTACCCCAACTCCTGCCACTCCCTAGTGGGTGATGCAGAAACATCTGGGCCTTCTTCCAGAAACAGCAGTGCCAGGGGAGCCCTTGGGCCCTGGTGAAGACAGGAAGCTCGCGCTTCCGATGCCCCCAGGGCCTCAGCCACACCCCAGCAGCAGGCGCACTTGTCCAGGACAGCTGCCTACCCACGCCACTCTCAGTCCCTGCCAGGCCATGACCAGGAGCTGACCCCTGCCCCAGCCTGGCAGCACCCTGCCATGGTGACCCATTTTGCTGGCAGACATGGGCGACAGGAGGCTGAGGGTGAAGAAGCTGGACCTGCACACACCCATCTACCTGGCTGGTGGCAAGAAGCCTGAGCTCAATGGTCCCTATCCCCAACCTGCACCCTGCCCCCCAGAGGTACAAAAGAGGATGGAGGAGGGGAATGGGCCAGACCCTCTTGGCTTTCCAGGGGTGAAGGTGAGACTTGAGCTCTGGGCTGGTGTGACCCAGGGCCAGGCCACCTGCCTTGTATTCCCTTTACAGTCAACTCAGAGAAGAGTGAAGGGTTTCAGCCTTCATCACAGAAACAGCAGTCCCTGACGGATTGCCCGGCACTCCCTCCCGGCAAACCAGAAGGTTGATGTAACAAAGCACTGGTCTGGGGGGTCAAGCCCAGGTCCTTCACCATCAGTCTGAGCTCCTCCCCCGTCTGGGCCTCAGTTTCCCCATGAGCCCGCACCCCAGGTTTGGCCTGCCTCAGAGGGAGGTCTCTGGGGCCCTTTCTCCTCAGACAGGACTGAGTCCTGAGCTGCTCGGGTCTTTGCTTCCTGGCCTCACAACTTGAGGCAGCCCCTCCACGTGGGCCCTCACTCCAAAGTCCTGCGTGAGCAGCCATGCCTGCAGTCAGCCCCCACCAGGGCGCCCTCTAGCCCACTGATGGGGCTTGGGAGGGAGTCTGGTGGCTGACTCCTGGGGAGGGTGGGGTGCCCACTAGAAGGGCGGGGTGCTACACAAAGCGGGAGACCCACAGCCCTGGAACCTCCAGCTGCAGCTTCATCTCGCCTATCTTGCGCCCTGGAACCTCCAGCTGCAGCTTCCTCTCGCCTATCTTGCGCTGTCCGTTGGCACCCCTGGGGACAACTGCCTGGGCCCCTTCCCTGGGCGTCCAGGGGGACAGCGGGGTGTGACCCGGTCCCGCATAGACTTCTCAGGAAGAACGAGGGTCTCCAGCACCCGTCCCCACTCAGTTCCCAAGGGGCAGGACGCAGCGGTCCCGAGCTGGGGGCACAGCCTGGTGCCCTAGCCGGGTTCCAGGAGTGCTCGCGCGCCCGACGGCGACCCCGCCTACCGTGGCCCCTTCCCCCTCCCCTTTCCCAGCTTCCTTCCCACGACCACTGACCATAGTGACCGGAGCTGTCGGGCTAGTTCCCGCCCCAGCGAGGAGCGATCCGGTGCGGGAGGGCGCCGCAGGAGTCGCTGGCCGGCTGCGCCGTTGGGTCGGGCGGCGGGGGCCTCAAAGGCGTGGGGGCGAGCGGAGAACACACCCGACCGCTCCGCAAACCAGAGGTTAGCCCTCCACTGTGTCCCAGCAAGACACACGCCCCCGCGATTGACGTCTGAAGTGGGCAATCAGAAGCCGGCACTCAGGACGTCACAGAAAGTGGGTGGGACTTCACGCGCCTTTTGCCTATGCCTTGGGGTTTATTTGACAGGGCGCCTCCCCCTTTTAAAGACACAAAACCTCGTAACTAGCGAAGAGTTAGCCCGACCCAGAAAGACGGGTCCTAGTGTGTAAAGACTGAAGGACTTATGAAGTGCAAAGAGCAATTAGAAGTCTGCTGAAAGATCAGCTGGCCATCATTAATTCATAAACAAAATCTCGCAAGTGTAGTTTGCTCAAGACCAGAGGCCAGGAGCGTAGGGAACCCGAGTCCAACAGCATTGCCACCTCCCTCCCCGCATCGTGTCGCTTCTAAATAATATTCCAGCTCATGAATCAGTAAGTTGCCAGGCACCCAATTAATGTTTGTTGAATGGAAGACGGTTCCAGGTTGTTGATTCTGGGGCTCTGGAACTGGATGGCTATATTGGCGATGGTGAACCGGGCACGGTGACTCACCTGCATACAAGCTCATTATTCTGAACATCAAACAGAAGGGCATGCATCATTGGAAGATGGGTTCAGCAGTTCACCAGCGCTTGACCTTTGGAGGAGGTGCTGGGGACTGGGGGGGAGGCCAGTGGGCAGAGAGATCTAGGCCATACTACCTTCCACCCCACCAGCACCCCAAGGCAGCAGACAGACATTTGGTCAGGCAAAAGTGGGGGCTTGGGGGTGGGGGGAGGTTGTTTGGGGTCACAGAGGAGCAATGACAAATGCATCTCATTTTTATTGCACACGTACGGTGTATCAGGCACTGTGATCTTACTTAATTTTCTCCCCACCACTTTATGGGAGTAGGTCCTATTATCTATATTTTACAGATCAGGAAAATGAGGCACAGAGAATTAAGCTTAATTAAGGTTCTGCTCTTTGTTACTGCTGGATGCCAGAGAGGTGACGGGAGCCACCACCTTGTGCTGCTCCACGAGGTGACCTGGCTGGGCTGGAGCTCTCGACCCCTGGCTCTCCACTCTGTGATGGCTCCAGGCTGCATGAGGCTTCGCTCGCTCTGTGATGGAAGGGCTGGGCTAGGTGTGCGTCATGCAGGAATGGCAGGAGGGAAGGTCCCGCTGGGGCAAGGCCTAGGTCCTGGGCTTAGGCTTAGCCCTGGTCCAGCCCATATTGCAGGCGTCCCAGCCTCCCTGAGGAGGCCCTTGAGGGAGCCACGGCTTCTAGAAGCCCCAATGCAGGGCTACACTAACCCTGGAGTCCTTGACCTGCTCTCCAGCCCTCGCGAGCCATGGCAGCTCCAAATCAAGCTGGCAGTGGCATGTGGAAGGAGCTCTAACTGAAGCTGGCACAGAACCCGGGGGCCCAGGTTGAGTCTAGACTCTGTCACTCACTTCTGTGTGGCCTCACTAACTTCCAGGCCCTCTCTGGGCTCTGATCTCTCACTATAAACAAAGGGTTGATAGCTGGGGATTTTTTTTAAAGGACATTTAAAAAATAGTGTCAGTCATGAAGCGTTTAAATAAAAACATAGTCTTACCCAGAATCTTAGTGTATGTGTAGTGGAATCTTTCCTCCACTGGCATAAGCAATGTAATCTCCTTTGTCTGTAACTAATCAGGTCTTCTCTAAAGCCTGATCAGAAAAGAAAATGAAAAAAGTTGACAAGGAGTCCAGCTGGTTTTCCGACTGGGTTCCAGTTTAAGAGAACAAGCGCAGTCCTTACCCGGCAGCTCCAGCTCCCGGCAAGCGTGCTCCGTCTGGAAGCAGGAGGCTGTCTTCCTGGGCGTGTCTACCTGGTGTCCGGATGTCTGGGGGAGGGGCTGATACGCACTCACAGGTTCAGAGAAGAGCATCTTGTCCACCTGGGTGCTGGACACCTCCAGCCTTGTCACTGGGCACTTCCTAGTTGACCTCACGACTCGACCCCACTATCTCCCATGTGACCCTACCCACCCTCCTCACTTTCGTTCCATTTCCCTAACATGCAAGCATAAGGGATGACTTCAAGTGCCAGAACCTTCTGCAGGCTTTCCCACCTCTGAGGCTTTGTTCCTCTCCAAGTTCGCATTTCAGGCGCCACTTGTCAAATTCCATCCATCCTTCAACTTCTGACTCCTTCTCCAGGAAGCCTTCCCAGATCACCAGGCTGGTCATGAATGTCTGTCAAGCTCTAACATACCACATCCATCCTTCCTGGGTGCTGGTCCCTTGTGACTGTGACTGGGGGGGGGTGTCAGATATGATCATAACAAACATGGACAGTGGTACAAAGTCTGTGTCATGATTCCCATGGCAAGCCGTGCCGCTCTGTGCTTTACTTCCTGGTCTGGAAAGTAGGCGTATTCATACTTATCTCCAGAGCTTGGGAGGGCTGAATGACAGTGGTGGGGAGCACTGCAGGCAGTAAGTGTCCAATAGGGAGGCCCCATCTGGAGCCCCTTTGGGGCTCCCCCCTGGCTCATGCATGTGCGACTAAGCCTGGAGGGCATAGGCAGGGGTTTGCATATGCAAGGAGGACCCCCCAGGGGGCCTGGTGGTCTGTCCTCTCCCTTGACCACAGGCTGCGGAAGCTCAGGCAGCCACACTCACCCTGGCAGGAGCCCTTCCCCACGGCTCCATTTCCTGGTGCCCTTTCAACTGTGCTACTTCCTGCACTTGACTTTCTCCACTTTGTGGCTGCAGGAGGGGCTTTGCAGCAAAGCCAGGACCCGGGGGAGGGGGGGGTGTGTGCAAAGAGGGCTCCTCCAGGCAGGCTGTCAGCGCCGTCCCCTCCTCATTGCTGCTCGCCGCTGGCAATGAGCACACGCAGCCTTGAGCCGCAGCGTGGTCCAGATACCAATCAGAGTTGTTCCACTACTGGGAAGATTCCAGAAGACTAAGAGCTACAGTTACACCCTTGAATTTCCCCAGTGAGCAGTCTGTGGGCCTGCAGTCAGCGGGATGCCTTGGCCCCCGCTCCCAGGCCAGAATTGAAGAAGAGGTTTTCTGCTTGAGAAAGCAGCTTTCCAGGAAGAACAACGCGTGCGGGGGGTTCGGAGATCTAGCTAGTGGGTCTGGCTGCACCAGCCAGAATTTTCAGAAATCCAGAAAGTGACGGGAGCAGGTGTCCCGGAACCGACACTGCCCCCTGCTGGACGCGAGAGGAAAGGCCGTACAGCCCCGGGGCGCGCAGCACCCCATAGTCAGTCCCTTCCCGGTACAGTGTACGTTTGGGTGACAGTCCACTCCACATGCCCAGAGGTCTTCAGCACCTGTGTGGACACATCTGGGCACAAAACGGACCCAACTTACTGCTGGCTCTGCTCCCCGCCGCAGGGGAAGTAACCCCTTTCTCTGCACCAAGGCACTAGCCCACACCACAGGACCCCAGTAAGGGTAAGGACAGGGAGGGAGCTCTCCGAGCCACTGAGGCTTCGCTTTCCACCCGCGGCTCTCGGGCCGGGGTGGAGCTGGGACCCAGTGAGGAAAGCAGGGGCCGCAGCCAGCCATGCTTCCTGGGGCCCCTGAGCTCAGGGAAGCACCCACAGGCCAGGCCCCACCCCCTTTTACACGTGAGGCAGGAGATCTGCAGAGAGGTCACAAGTCAGGCACGGGCTGGCTCGTTGACACCCTGCCACTCCCGCTTGAACGTGACCCCAACCCAGGAGGCTATAGGTGGCCCAGTTTCCTGGCAGACTTCTCATTTGTGGGCCCCCTGTCCCCACCGGGCCACTTTCTTGGGTTCGGAGAGCAAGTACTTGTACCCCATGAAGCCTTTGGAGCTGGGTGAGAGGCACCCTGTTCCGCGGGGAGGAGAAAGTGGTGGGTAAGATTTCCACAAGTCGGAGGCCAATGGGACCCCAGCTTCTAAAGGGGGCTGACAGGTGTCCTAGCTACGAGACCCTGGGGGACAGGTGACTCCCGTCAGCCTCCAAGGACACCCCTCCTGTGGCGACACCCTTAGGGAACCCCTCCCCCGTGCTTGGTTCTACCTAGTGACTTGCTTGCGGATGAGCAGCACAGGGATGACGGGGTGCCACGTGTGACCCAAAGGCCAGGGCTGCCATGCTTTCTCTCTTCCCTCTCACTTACCACACTGTCACCTGCCCCGTGGAAAGGACCATGGGTCAAGGTCAAGCCCAGAGTACAACTGCCTGTGACAAACTTCATCTGCCAACAGCTGTGAGAGTGAAGCTTGCCTGAGTCTCCTCTGGTGGGGTCAGGGTCACCCCCTGGTGGCTGGACAGAAATGGAGGCTATGTGGAGGGCCTGGGGGCCAGGGGCCCAGCTAAGCCTGGCTGGACCTGGGGTGAGGAGCTGGACCTGGGGTGAGGAGCTGGACCTGGGGTGAGGAGCTGGACCTGGGGTGAGGAGCTGGACCTGGGGTGGGG